CCCAACCTGTAATCTTATTTCCTGAAATCTGTTCCATCTGAGTGGAAAGTGTCCACGTGTATAAACTTACAGACACACTGTTGCTCAAAGAGTAGAGTCATGCTAAGAGCTTGGCTACTACTGTGCTGGGTAGACACCACCCCAACAAGAACAAACCGGTTTGGGGGACTCGTCCTAAGTGACTCACCTTCCAGTCCCTCATCAATAGCCCATCGGGTGCTTCCCTTTTTAATAAAAGGCCAAATCCTAATCTGGCACTGAGACAAAGGCCACAGCCTCTAAGCAGCTGTCTCTTGCAGGAAGGGCTTTCTGATCTGCCGTTCTGATGATGGTTGGTTTGATGGCCTATAATCTTTCTGACAGCCCTGGGTGCCGCTCAAACGAGCCCTTCCGCCCTCTCCATGCCCGCAAAGATCTCCAAAGAATCCTATTTTCTGCTGGTTAACTCGGAGAAAATGATCATTTCTAAAGAAAAAAAAATGAAATATCCTTATTTGGTAGTAAAGTGGTGGCATATTGGTCGAGGGGTAGTTGAGAGTCTGCTCAATTTTCCATGAGGTGCGGGGTGGTTGGGAAAGAAGGTGTGATAGGGCACAGAAAGGAGATTAGGATCCTCAGGGCCAGACCTCCAGGCTTCGGAGTTCACCGTGCAGTGAACCCGCCCAGCCGGCCCCCGCAGCCCGCGCTCCCCACCCTGAGACCTATTGTCCGCAGTCAGAGCTTGGGGGTCGTGACCCAGGCAAAGGCGACACTGCGCCCAGGGCAGACGCAGGCTGGAGCTCAGAGCAGCTTTTTCCCGGCTTGGCCCTATTTCCCCATTTCTCCATCCTGAGCCCCCCCCCGCCCCCGCCCTCGGGTGGTTCAGAGAAAAGGAACTGCCCTCTCCCGCTCCATCCCCAACCAAAACAGTCGCTTTTTTGCCAGATTCTTTTGCGCAGGGTGCTTCCCAGGCAGCCAGAGGTTGGGACCGAGAAGCTATGGTCTGACTGGTGGTTCGGCGTGCACACACTCTGTTTCAGGATATCTACATCCCCATCACCACCACCACCAAATTCAAATATACTTTCTTCTCCCAGACTCTAAAGTAGGGCTGAGAAATGAAGGAGTCTGAACCAAGGAAGTCAGACAAGATGAAGCTGCTTTTGCTTCACCCTTACCCCTGGGGCAGGAGGAGCAGAGCCCGGAGGACGCTACAGATTAGAGGGTCTGACAATCTTGAGGGGAACTGGACATTTAAAATGAACCCTCCCTTTCACTGGGCTCAGTAATGCTCTCTGCCTCTCTTATCCTTTCCTTCCTTCGGAATCTTTCTCTGGGCCTGGCGGGAAGGAGAGCCGCTGCGGTCTTTTTCTTGCAGCTTGCATGTGTGTTTGTTTCCCTGGATCCTGTGTGGTGAGAAGATGCAGAGCTGACACCAGGATGGGGAAAGGGTGAGCCCACCCAACCTGAGAAATGCAGGGAGAGCGGGTCTGACCCCGGCCTTGGGAGGCCTAGAGCCAAACCTCCTTCCCTTTGGCCTTAGTTTCTGACTATTTTCTAAGCCCAACAGGAATGGCCGTTGTAAGGTGTGAAAGACTTCAAAAGTCTCTACATACAGCATCTCATCTTTTTAATTCTCAAGAGGCATACCCCAAAACTGCCACACCACGGGGGGAAAAAAAGATTGAAATGGGGTTAGAGATCCAGGTGCAGTAAAAGCAGTCTGGAAAGGGCAGTTAGTTCTATGAGGAAGCTTGGTCAGAGGCAAAGACATTTTTTTCCCACCTAAATTCTCCAAATGTTTATTTTGGGCTTCCGCCCATCCAGATAAATCAAGCTAACAGATTAGGAGGTTCATAAAATTGTATTCTTAGGTAATGACATCCAGAGAGGCAATAAATATTCCATCTGCTTTGGTGGCCGCTGGAGTTAGGGCATCTTCCATCTCTTTTTTTTTTTCCTAAGCCTCGGAGAGGACTCTAGGAAAGGAGGCATTTTAATTCGAATTAGCTGTCCAAAGGTGGGGTGCCAGATAAAAGCTGAGGAAAGCCTGGAGAAGTGGTTTTGTGAATACAGCACCATGTTACTCCAGGGCCTGGCAAAAAGCCGAGAAAAGGATTGAAGTGCCCAGGGTACTGCTCCTCTTTGTCATGACGCCCCTTTAAAAGCCCTTTAGGGGTTAGCATTCAATTTTAGGAAAAGAGAGAAACCCTCCCTAGCAGAGGGCACCCTATTCCACACTTTGGCAAACCTCTTTACACACACACACACACACACACACACACACACACACACACATTGGGTTTCAATATGCAATTCCACAGAAGAAAAACTGAGACATTCAGAACTGTAGGAAACTTCACACAAACTGCAAGAGATCCTCAGAGAAACAACGTGGCTCAGGCCTTCCCCCTTAGCCTTACTTTCTCCAGGCTGTCTCTCCATGTTTGAGCTGTTATCTCACAGCCTGCCGCCCATGTGTGGACCCCCATTTTCCCCCAAGCACACCCTCTCCATCCACATTTGATTTCCCGCCTTCCTTCTCAAACAATTGGAGCTGAAACAAAAATTTAGTGGAAGACAGTTTAGACTTGTGCTGCTTACCACAGGGAAGATTGAGTGCTAGCTACTTACACAGCCAAGGGATTTGGAACTTGTGGGGATCTCCTGATGCTTGGAAAGAAGAACCCTGGAAGATTGGTGTCCCCCAGTTCACAGGTCTTCATTTTACTTGGCCATTGGAGATGATACAATTCTGGACTAGCAGGCATTCATGTACCTTCCTCTCCCATGAGACTGGCAAGGAATCCCCAGTCCTACAAAAGCTGTGGCATCCTATCTGGAGGCTAGGAGCTGAGCAAAGACTGGGCTTAGGAGGGTTGGAGAAAGGGGTGGGAGAGAGGTCAGAGGCTCTGCTGAACATAAAGGCAATGGGAGAGAAAATGCTGTGTCCTTCCTGTGAACCTGGGCCCTGTCCTCCCCCTAGCCTTTCCCCACTGCTCTACTCAACCTCCAATAAAAGCCTTGCCCACTACTTCCCAGTGAGGCCAGGAAGCATCAGGAGCATTGAGACCACAACTCCTAGAGCTTGGCGCCCAGGCCCAGGTTAGCCTATGCTGCACCCCTGCCCAGCTAGGCTGCAGGCTTTCTGGGTGGTCAGGGCCCAGGCAAAGGAAAACTTTGGAGAAAGAAGATGAGGGAGATTGCAGGAGGTCAGAGGTCCAACTCTTCAAATATCCAAGTGTCAAAGATTTTAATTTTGCTACATTTGTCAAGAATGTGTGGATTTGGGATGTTCCCCCCTTTGCAAACCAAGAAAGACAGAGATAATGACTTTGTGTGCCACAAGAAGAAAGAAAACAGAAGCCTTTAAAGAAAGAGAAATAGATACCCTAGCCCTTTGTAGGCTGCTTCCCCTGAGTTCAGGAGTGTCCCTTCAGGAAGCACCAGGAGAAGCTTCATAAATAAGGTGCAGTGGCAGCCTTCTCCCCATAACTCTCCAAAGCGCAAAGCCAGGCAAGAAACTGTGACTCTGAAGATAACCTTACTTCTTTCCATCTCACCTTTCCAGGTTCAAAAAGGCACCCTGGCTTCTCCCTCAGACCTTCCCTCTCTCTTTCCAAACACAGTTATCACCCCCTCTTAGCCTTAGCAAGGCAATAGCCTCTAGATGATTGGGGCTACCAACAGATCAGGCCCCTAATTTGCTTGATTACATAAAATAACTCCAGATAATTGTTGGCTCTGCTTCCTCACATTGTAGACAGCATGTTTTGCTGTCTCCAGAGTACTATTGAGGGAGGAGAAAGTAGACCTCAAGGACTAAATGATCCCCCCTCAACATGTAGCCAAACTCCAAAGCGTGACACGGACTCTGCTCCCAGGATCAGTCAGCAAGTGGCTCAAGAGAAAAGAAATTTAAAACACATAAAATAGATTTTCACAACTTGGTGTCTTCTCTGCCTGCTCTTACTTCTCACTGCAGGATTCAGAGTTAGCCTCCTCTCCAGCTCCCATTCCTGAGTGCCCTCATCCCAAAGTTTAGATAAATCTCCTAAGGGAAAGTTCCCAACTGCACCCCTCACTTTCCCCTAGCAAAAAGAAAAAGAAAAAATGAGCAGGTTAAACTTAAGGCCTGGTGTCCAGGTCCAGATAGATCCACCTGGGGTCCTTTGGGTTGAATTAGTCCTTTGGATAATCCAAGATAGTTTTTTCGGTGGTGTGCCTCCCATACCCGAGAAAACTCTATTATCTATCTTACAACCACAGAGCCTTGTTCAGTATGTACACTCTACCAGTACATGGAAGATTGTAGGACGAGGGTAGTCCTTGAATCTCTAAGATTTTTCCTTAACCCCTAGCAGATCATGATCAAAAGTTCCAGAAAAACATAAAAGCCCTTCCTTCCTTCGATAGTTACTTCCAAGCCTTTGAGGCCTACCCATGCAATGGGCCTTACAGGCCTCTCTGGCCTCCACTTCACCCTTTCCTTCAAGGCTAAACAAACAGATATGGCATCATGACAGGCCACTTTGCTGCTTCAGAATTACCAGCTCCAAACCCTTCATCCCTTTGAGGATATAACTGAGGAAGGGGCATCACCCAAGTCTTGTCCCAAGAAGTCTTGAAAGAGAAAACTTTTTCCTCCCTTTCTCTAAACTTGCTCCTAGTCTGCAGATTTGGCAGCTTACAGGACAGAGAGGGTGAGGTATGAAAAAGGAATAGTCAAAAAGATGGGACAAGCCTGACTAAGGAAAGGTGAGGATTCCCACTCCATGTTCAGCTCCCCTGTAAGGACCGCAGGCCTGGTCTCTCTGGGAAGTCTGAGAAAAGGGACAGTGGAGCCCTCCATTCTCTGCCACATCCCTTACTTCACTGATTTTTCAATAGGCCCTGAACACCTGAGGTCAAATGTTAAGGCTTGTGTGTTTGTTCAGAGTAAACTTAGGCGACTACAGAGAAGGTGAGACGTCCCCAGGCCAGAAGGAGGGGGATTAAAAAGAAACCATCAGACACTGACGTAAAACTAGTCCACAGCCACTGGTTTATTATTGATCACGGGGCATTTCACATCAACACTAAAATTCTTTATTGCAAGTTTTACAATAATCAAGTAAATTCAGTCCAAAAAACACAATAACCACGTTGGGGGTAGGGGAGCATCTACCTATAGACTGCCTCTCTGAACTGAAAGTTCATTTTCATTTTCTTTTGGCTCCTCAAACTGAACAGCTCCCAGAGGCTCTCCAGATGCATTTAGCTTTGTCTGCTGTCCTCCCCCCTCCTCCCACCCCCCCACAAGAATACAAAAGAACTTCATAGCTTTGTTCTCCTTAAAATGACTTCCCCCTCACTAACCTCCCCTGGTGCATTTTCAATGCAAAGGGCCTAAGGAAAGAGGGGGGGAGGAGGAGGAGACAGGAGAATCCACTTAAAAATCTCCCTTTCCTTTTTCTTTTCCTCATTTCCCCTGAAATTCACCCAAACTAGACCATCGCACCTTGCAATATATAATTTTTGCAGCTTTTTTCTTAAAAAATAAATACCCCCCCAATGGCCTTAAAAAACAAAAACCAAAAACAAAACCCAGCAGGTACCATGCTAAGATAACACCACATGCTTAAAGGGCTTCTTAACAGTGAAGGAAGAAGGGCAAGGGGCTTGTTTATCTGTTTTGTCTGTTTGGAATTGACAAGGGAGGAGGCAGGAGGAAGAGGGAAAAAAACAAAATATATATATATATTAAATTCTATAAATAAGTGTCAATTTGTGTGTGAGGGGGTCACGGAGCACAGGGTGGGGGGCAGGGGTGTAAGTTATGTTTTATAACCTGGTAATGTCCTCTGCCCGTTGCTGCTCCGGCGGCGTGGCGCTCTGGGAGTGGTCTTCAGAAGTACCAGGGGTGGCTGCCGAGAGGGTGCTGGGCGCAGCACCGGCCGGGGGCGCTGACCTCACTTTGGTGTTGGGGAGTCGGTGGTCCTTCTTCCATTTCATGCGACGGTTTTGGAACCAGATTTTGATCTGCCTCTCAGAGAGGCACAGCGAGTGGGCGATCTCGATCCTTCTCCTTCGGGTCAGGTAGCGGTTGTAATGAAACTCTTTCTCTAATTCCAGGACCTGCTGCCGAGTGTAGGCTGTCCTCGAGCGCTTGGGCTCCCCTCCGTTATAATTGGGGTTCACTGGGGGTAGGGGAGGGGAAGCAAATAGTGGGGTTCAGAGGCAGCAGGCTCCCCGCCCCCACCCTCACCCCATCCTCAGCTTTGAGGAACAGGAGGGAGTGGAGGAAATAAAGTCATCAAGCTAAATGGGTTATAAAGAAGTTGAAGGAAGCTGGAGACTTTGTAGTGTAATAAGAGGGGAATCCTCATTGTAACGACACTGAATTATTTATGCGCCCTTAGAAAGCGAGCATAGTTTTCACACATACATAACAGATCGTAGCACATGGCTCGGACTGCCCAGAGTAGCTAAGCCATAAAATTTATGGGGGATGTAATTACCCATTCTCGCTCGTAAATCCAGTTCAATTGTGCTAACCCAGAGTCGCTCCTGGAGAGAGAGGGGGGAAGGAGAGAAAGGAGGACGGGGCCAGAGGGGGCCAGGGAGGGTGGGGAGCGCCGG